TTATGCCAAGAATTCGAGAGCTCTAATTTTAGTCCCCCGACGCGTTGCTCGTTGAGGCTGTTTAAAATTGCCTTACACGCAGCCGCTGACGGCTGTTCATTTATATGCAGCCGTTATCGATTTTCTTAGCTTGATATATGTCGGTATTGCATGGCTTCAGAGGCAGGGCGAGCGTCAAGTTGAGTGATTTCATCTATTATTGGATACAGCTCACTGGGCCACGGGCATCTGGACGACACTTCAGGGGGCAGAAATAGGGCGCAGTTTGGGCTCAAGTGCGCAGAAGAGCGGACGAAGTGGCCCCCTGCCGGCCACAGGTGACGGTTTCAGGGTCAACGGCCGCTGCTCGAGGCGGGCGATGATAGCACCATTTATTGCTAATAAATCTATTAATTAACTCGATCTAGAGTGTTCACTATTTTTAATGTGTTCGGCCGTTGCGTTACAATATTTACAAGATGATGTAGCGATAACGCCCCTTCTACACCACAGACCACCAACCAAATCACCAGGAAGTGGCTCGCCGAATTCGACGCAGCGCCAGCAGTGGTATCACCACCAGCTTAGAGCAAGGACCGTATAAGTATATAATCCTTTCCGGACCGCGAGTGAGGCGGTGTCCAGTATAACTGACAGCTGCCACTGCCATGGCAGCTGTCCTGGCAGCGGCAGCTGTCATGAGACGCGGACAGAGGCGCCATTGGCCGCAGATATGAAGTCTTATTTCGGACGAAGGAGACCGGAATATCATTTCACCCCTGAGCGCGCCGGCCAGCGGCGGAGAAGTTGACTTCAGAGGCGGATTTCGGACTAGCGCAGAGCTTTGACCGATTCCTGGAATGCCCAGGACTCTCCCGATTACCTTGCACTGGCTTTCATTTTAAAAGTTGGATTGGACTGATGCAAATCAGGCAATCATAGAAGCAGTTCACTTCCAGCTTAGTGATGAGCGCACGAGATACTGATGAAAGGATACTTGTTAGCAAAGGCTTTGCTTATTCTACGCACATATGTAATAACACCAAATTAAAAGTTTATACAATAACTCGTTTTTCAAAACATCGATATTTATCAAAATACGCCTCCCCATGGGCGCCAGGCTCACACATATTTTACTCCTTGACTGCACGTGGAAACTAGAACAAATAAATACTGTTTACATTGAATGCAATATTTCCTACCACATATTTTCCTCAGTATCTCCCGTTAGCTGAACCGGAAAGAAACGAACAGCCTACATCCCGCCCGGGTTAGTCGTCTCCCCGGCCGGTGACGTCACGGGCGGCAGCTCGGCGCGTGTCGCCCCCACGTCTCGAGCTCACGCACAGCTCGCACTATGACGTCATAGGTCAGTGCTCCACGTGTTTACGACATTTGGCCCGGTGCCAGCAGCGACGACCGCAGCTCAGTGCGAGAGGACGGCTGCCCGGCAGATGGGAGAATCAATAGAGGAGCCCGTCAGGCATCCGGCGAGCCTGCGGCGGCTGCAGAGAGGTCAAAGGTCGTGACCCAGGTCACTTGGGTGTCGAGCGTAATGAGTTGATGGACCATGGAAGCTCGTAGAATAGACACTAATTATCTCTGCAAATGGAGCAATTTGCAGGTGCGGTGCTTTCATCTAGCTCATCTCGTCGAGAAAATAGGTGCCCAGAAGGACTATGTGCGTATCATTAACTAATCAAGCGGTAAGAGTTGCAGCAAGCTGGCACATCAATCTCCTTGAGTCCTGCCAGCAAACTTGTCCGAGTAACAAACGTAGAGCCAAATGCCGCATGTCAGCCGTGAGATGTGCAGCAGGCACTGCAATCGCTCCGGCCCTGCCTAAACAGTCATTAGCGTAATTCAAGCAGTGCAATTACAGTCGTTCAGCGGTCCAGAGAGCGATGAACACCTAAACAGAGCCCGATTGCCGTCGTTAGTACATTGTCTGTCGCTAATGTGCAGAGAAACAATGCACGCGGTGCATGTGTCAGGAAGATACCTAACAGAGTTTGTCGCTGTCGTAGCAGGATTTTCAGGTGGTGTTTGGTGAGATTCATAGCACAGGCTCGAGCGTTTTTAGAGTGGTATACTGGCAAGAGGTAAATGGCAGGATGAGGAGAGGGATTAAAGGGATAAAAAAGGAACTGAGAGAGGAAGGGAAAGAAAGATAGAGAGAGAGAGAGAGAGAGAGGGAGAGAGAGAGAGAGAGAGAGAGAGAGGGAGAGAGAGAGAGAGAGAGAGAGAGAGAGAGAGAGAGAGAGAGAGAGAGAGAGAGAGAGAGAGAGAGAGAGAGAGAGAGAGAGAGAGAGAGAGAGAGAGAGAGAGAGAGAGAGAGAGAGAGAGAGAGAGAGAGAGAGAGAGAGAGAGAGAGAGAGAGAGAGAGAATATTAAGAGGGAAGAGAAAGGCAAAAGAAAGAGGATATATTTTTGGTATGGCAACGATTGAAATGTCACGGATCATTATTATCTAAAGCAGTACAAATGTTATAAAAGGAAAGCATTACGAGATGCAAACGGTAACGGTAACTCAGAAAACGGTATTTCTCAATGAGAGAGATCGCGACATGTCTCGTATATCTCGTATATCTATCATTGGTCATTTGTATTTGATATCGTCTCAGTATCTCGTTGAAAAAAGGAGAAATTGTCCGGAAAATCTATCCAAAATAAAAAACATTTCCTCGCTAGCGAATCGAACCAACCTTTCCTCGTCTCTTTGGAGAAGACCTGCTCGCAGCAATTCTCTGGATGCCTACACCCGGAAGAGCACCTCCCTGGCCCTGTGCGCAATTGGCCGGGGCCCACCGTTGCGCCACTGTAGGACGCGTTGCGTAACTTAGGAGGAGCCCCGGGTTGGGACGTTGAGAGAAGCTCTGTTTGTATGTCGAGATTGGGCTGTGCCATCCTGAGATGACGTTTTCAGGTGCGGTTCGGGTTTGGGCTGGGGCATGATAATTTTGCACAGTACCGGGTGTCCCAAAAGTAAGGTCATGATTTAAAACTTAAATATCTCGAGAAGTAAGAGTCCGAATCACTTCCAATTTTAACACGTGCAAGGTACATCCATAAAATTATTTTCTTGCATGCTTAAACCATTTTTGATCATAACTACACCGAGCAGTAGGCATAAAACTGAGAAGGTCGAAATACAACTCTTAGAGAGGGTCCGTCATTAAAACAAAGGGTAAATACCGCCCAGTTTTCGGCCCTAAGCAGACCCTATCAGCTCGCCCTATCTCTGAACTCATGCATAGTTTCGCCTCAACCGGTAAAACGTCAGAAAAAAGGTATAATGTACGCACAGGGCATGTATACTTAGCCACCTGTGCTTCGAGGTCCTGAGGACGACAGCGGGAATCGGGTGACAATAAATCAAGAGAGGTGGCCCAGAGTCCTCCCAGTGGTTCTTCCGCTCGTCGCAACGCAGCTGTGCCGACACCATCAGCCAGCAGTGGTTTCAGCAGGATGGAGACTATGCTTGCACCGTCCTGAAGATCATGTATTGTCTCCGAGAGTGGATGTGAGATCCCGTAATTTTCAGTCAGGGCAACGCCATTGAATGGCCTCCGCGGTCACCTGACGTTACATCTTCATATTTTTATTCTCTGGATACACAACAGAAAGATTGTCTTTTAGGACAACCCAACGAGCCGGGAAGAACTAAAGGATGATCCCTTCGAGCAAACATAGGCGGCATCTCACCAGAGAATCGCTCCAGAATAGTGGAGGAAGTCAAACGTAGTCTATTCATGCACGCGGCCCGAAATGGTGGCCATGTAGAAAAGCAGCAAATGTGGGGCTACGAGCCAATGTATTGACTCATATGTATGTCAGAATAAAATTTTATAAAATGCTCTTTCATATGATGTCCTATTTATATCTATCCATCGCGTATTTTTGGCAGTGTGGCCAAAACAAATGATGACCTTACTTTTGGGACACCCTGTATATCTGCCATTTGTCAAGTATTTATCTTGTTTGGTTTTTCAAAGATTCTCAGCGGCTCTATATCAAAATACCATTGCATTGACCAGAAAAATCTACGCCTATACAATCGACATTTGTTATTGGATATGTTGTAGTCCTTATTTCCACCCACGGTTACTGATAAATATATGTGCCGAAGTTCTGAACAAGTAACTAGTAAGTGTCAATAAGAAAAATAATGAGATATGACAATTAGTGCACATATAATCATATTAAAATGTTCTGTTATTCTCATCATAAATCATGTCTAATTATGCACGGCCTACACCATTTCGTCGCATTAAATTAATTCATACATTTTCCAGGATTTCACTCATTGGCCTTGTATTGTTCACATAACTACTTACATGCATACATGCATGCATAAACACAGGAGCTCCTTGACAGAGCAGAAGCCCGGCAGAGTTCAATGACGCCACATCACTGATAGTTCTGCTGGCTTCCTGCATTGCACCAGATACGGCGAGCTCCATAACCATGACGGCTCCGAGCGGCCCGATTTATTGCCTCCGAAATGGATCCCGCTTTCTGAGCCACCGCCCATGAGACACGGTTGGCCTGGCCAAGAGAAATGGCGTCATCACGCACAGGCTCCCGACCGGGCTCATATCCTACGCGTAATTTTCCCAGAGACGTATCCTGGAATATTAGGAGTGCCCCGTCACAGGCTTCCCGGGCACGCCGTAATTTAAGGTCATCTGGCCTCTCGCTGCCATCTAATGCTGGGAGTTACGTAAGATTACGATGAATTTTTGCCAATCATTCGTCGTGTCCTGTTCAGGAAAACACGCGAGCCTGAAGGTGAGTGACATTGTCTATTTTTGTTTTATTTCAAAGTAATAGGCTCTCTAGATTGTGATGGTCTGTGAGTGTTATGCATCTTATCGATAGTGTGCTCACATTTCTTATATTCCTGCTTTGTCGACTTATATTCCTCGAACATTCTAGGCGAACGAGCTCGCTCCTGAAGTCGCAGCTCTTATATAACCTTGATTTGATCTATAGATCATATCACAAGTCTCGAACAAACATTTCAGTGTTCAAGTGATATATTGTAACAAACGATACAGCTTCAGAACACTTACACATACAAAATTACAAAATCGGACTAGATACATGGGCGAACACGAACAAAATCCAACTGATACCTTCATAACGCGTCAACTCATACCTTTATCATAACACGCTCTATTTACAAATGGAGGTATTCATCGCGCTATCTCTAGAGCAAAAATCTGCGCTCAACACAAAACACCAATGACGTCACAAATGACGTCAAAGGCGTCTCGGACTCGCGGGCAGATCAGACGCCGCAATGTCACACACTAACGAGCATATTGCAATCGATCGCAATTCGTTTTTTATCCGCGAGCGCCGAGTCTCGCTGCGTTTTTGATAGAGATCAGGGAGCTGATAAAATCTGGTCGGGCGTCTGTTAAACGCCGACTGTGAGCCGCAAATTATCGACCAATAACTGCCGGTGACCGCCAGGGCCCGGTCCGGATTGCACAGTGCCGAATTGCACTGGTGAGGGACACTCCGTCGGACTGTCGTTCAGGCACAGAGGGTGCAGAAAATATGGGCATTTGAGCTGCAAGACAGCCGGACCAGAGCAAACGCGTCGCGGGTGAGGTAGACGATGGATGCAATGGCACCAGCCAGCCAAAACTGCTGTCCGACGATCTCGATTTTAGCTGTGACCAGCACAAAGTCGTACCAAAGTCAACATTATCAATATTAGAGCTGAGCTCCAGAGGCGCGCGAGCGATCCTCCGCCACACACGAGCCAAGCTAGACCGTCCGAGGGGCGACACATCACGCGGCACAGCGCAGGTGTCACCTCAGCCTCCCCCGGCACATTCAGGCACTCACTCTGGGTCCGCGGCAACCAGCCCGACCGCTCCGGTCGCCAGAACAATGACGGACGTACGCGTAAACCACACACCCACCACAATGACCCAGGGACAACGCAAGGATAGATGAGAAGTGTCGTTCTCTGAAAATTGCGACTAATTCTTGAAATAAACCCATGAAATATGTGACAATTTCATATCATAATGTCAACATCAGCTTTATCAAACCAGAGGATGAATAATGGATTAAAAATCAACAGAAGAAATCGACACTTATGATTGCAGGTCTAGGGTATAAAACGATTCAAACGCACCAGGGTTTCGAGTCAGTGTGGGTCGGCGGCACCCCGCAGCAGCTCGTACAGGGGCGCGCCTCAGTCAGGCACTCATCGCTCACGGGCCGGCGCAGTGTCCACAGCCACCTACAAACTACGGAGCGGCACGAAGCCACTCGGCTGAGATCAATTGGAAAATAAATACCCGACCCGGCGGCCGGCGGCCGCCCAGCAACCCGGCCGCGCGGCCTCGCTCTCTCGCACAATTCGTTCTGCTGCCGTCGGGCCGGCCGCGTCGCAGACTAGGATAAATAGAGACAGCAGCTGGGACGCAGACGCGCACCCGTGTGGCTACCGTCGCGCGGTGCGATAATTTTGATTGCGAAACAGTACCGGTGGCGAGTGAGACGATCCTGCATGGCCTCACCGGCGCGCAGAAGGCTAAAACCTTCAGCAGGGGTTCAAAAGGAGACCCGGGGCGGGTCTGAGCGGGATCGGGACGCTGTGTCGCGGACACCGCGTTATCGTGACCCGTTCAGACCGGGTCGGCGACCTCAGTCCCGGCCGCCGCCCGGTCGCCAGCCACACAGTCCACAGCCAGAATCATGCACACCCATTTGTACCGGAGCGTCGTCAGCGCGGCCGAGCCTGGCGCCGCCTACAAGGCGAAGGCCAGGTCGTCGAGGTCGTCGCTGCACAGGTCCAGCACGGGGAACATGGCCAGCGGGTTGAGCAGCGACGACTCCTCGTCGAGCGGCTGCACGTCGAGCTCGCGCAGCTCCAGATCCATGTCGGCCTCGGGCTCCGGCGAGAAGGGGCAGTGGCCGGCCGGCGACATGTCGTAGAAGGCGGCCTCCTCGGCGGCGCCGGCCGACAGCTCGTGCGCCGCCAGGCCCGAGGACATCTCCGACTCGTAGCCGCTCGAGGAGCCGATGGACGGCACCGGACTGTAGGGCGTGTGCAGCACGCTGGCCGGACTGGCCTGGCAGTGCGACGAGCCGGCCGGCGACAGCGGCGACACACCGCCGTAGCACGAGGACAGCGGACTGTCGGGCGCCGCCACGGCCGACAGCGGGCTGCCGCCGCCGCCCAGGTACCTCGGGTCGGCGGTCAGACCCGGCGGGCTGGCCGGGGACATGTAGCTGGCCGCCACCACCGGCTTACGCTCCTGACGCGACGAGCTTTTCTTGGCGGCCGGGGAGGCGGTCGTCTTGGCGACCGTCTCCTTGGGCTGTCCCTTCTTGCGCGGCCGGTACTTGTAGTCGGGGTACTCGAGCCGGTGCAGCTCCACCAGAGTCTTGGCGCCGCGCATGAACGGCTCCTTCTCGTCCTTGCTGAGGTCCTGCCACAGGCGGCCCAGCGCCTTGGAGATCTCAGAGTGGTTGCAGCTGAAGTTCGCCGTGATGTTCTCCCGCTGGATCTTGGCGAAGAGCATGAAGGCGTTCAGCGGGCGTTTGGTGTGCTCCGGATTCCTCCTGTCCTTTTTGATCTGCCGGAAGAAGAGCGCATCGTTTTAACGAGCGGCACCACGGAGCTCGCCTCGGTGGAGGATAAGGTCGTATTTGAAGTGACAGCTGGGTTCGGCTAAAAACCACCGGAGGCTTTACCGATCCTGGCAGCACCGACAGAGATCATTGTTTTTCGCGATCCAAGCGGAAAACTTAAATGACCATTATACCATATGAAGCGGACTTTTCCGCTTGATAAATCGGATAACTTCAGCACTTTAGGCTGTCGAGCGGAAAGCCACATCCACAGGGGTTTCTAGGAATTATGTTGCTAACAGTGCCGTGAACTCATGCAATCAGTTTGAGACGTGCTGTCAGAAAGCCTTTCTCTGGACACTCTGCAGTTCACAGTGTGTCGGAATTCAGACTCGATTTCCCAGAGTGTCGACTGAATTTAGCAGCTGTCATCGGTTGGAGTTATGTGACAGCGCGTGATTCAGGGGAGACACGAATTGTTCCAACCAACTGATATAGCCGTGGGAATTCCAGCTTCAGCAGCACCATTCGGATGTCAACGGGTGTGCAAAAGGCTATTTCTGCAACTACAGCCGTAATACCTCCCCATACCAGCACATAACGCACGTCGCTAATTTTTTAGCCACGAAATTCCTCATCGTAATTCCACCCTGCGCCGACCGTCCGGTCAGTTCGTTTCGCTGTCAACAGATGGCGGGCAGAGCGCCGAGCCGATCAGCTGTTCGGCAGCGCGCTGACACAGCGTTCGTTGGAGCCAATTGGACGCGGTGGAGGCGGCTGCCGACCGTTGCGACCGGAGGGCATCCTATCCAATTAAAGCTGACTGTGCCGTCTACACACAACTATTAGCGCTGATGATAGCCCGACACGAACAATTTGTTCAGTCAGGGATGGCTGCTCCGCGTCTAAGATAAATGTCAGCCATAAATTGCATGAGATTATTTTCAGAGAAGTTCCCACGCGCAAGTAAGGGGATAGTGCATTCAATCAGGCGCGGCAAATTGATATGGGAAACAACTGGAAGGCGAGATTATTTTTGCTGAATTTATTACCACTTTTTTATTTATTACCACAAAAATCTTACTGCACTCTTACAGAACGCACTTGCATTTGGGTATCGCAATGAAAAATTAAATAACCTTCAGAATCCAGAAGGCAGAATAACTTATCATTGTTGCACCATGTTGTTCAAAAGTACTGCCTTGAATTTCAAAATTTAGTAGACTGCCTACCAATAAAAACCGATAGCAACAATATATGAATTTTCACAACCCTAAGGATGCACATTGCACACCACGATATTAAAGTTAGAAGGTGTAAAAACCCTTACACGGAAAAGAAGAAGTCTTATGTAAAAGACGACAGTTGAAATTTAGCTGATTGAAGATATGTCGATAAATCGCTTCTAATGATTGTATAGGTAAATGTGATAATCCATATATGCATCAATGTATCCGTTTTTATTCCGAGTTATATAGTTTTGTTGCAACGAAAGGGACATGTTCGATTTATCGCGTCTCTCTGGATGAATCAAATTTTAAACAGCAGACCGCTACTTGCATTTCGCATCTGTGTAGGTACTTAAAAATTGCTGTAAATATCCGGAAAATAAAAATCCTCAAGTATTTTTTTTTGTGACATCAAATACATGTTAAAGGGAAAATAGTATTTCATTAACTGAGAGAAAACGTACAAAAAAAAACATCTTGAATAATTGTTTCATGATTTAAACCACCTCATTTTGGTTCCTTAAAAACCTAACCGCACCGCAACAAATGTCAGTTTCCATTTGTTGACAGTCCGGTCTCATCATCGATACAATTTAAATACGACAAACCACAAAATCAAAAACAATTTAGTGGAAAAAATATCATCGAACACCACGACAGAATTTCGGAGCTAAAACCCGGAAAACAGACACACCAACGAAAACCAAAAACCCCTTCGAAAGGAGCCCAAACACACCTGCATGAGATCCGAGTATGGCGTCGGCGAGTCCCAGATGTACTTGGGAAACTCTGGGTAGCGTATGCTGAAGTCATTCAGGTTGATCGCCATGGTGTCAACACATGTGCGTCTTGTCTTCCTCGCGGCGCGTGCAACCCACCTTCACCGTTCCTAGCGCTCGACTGCCAGCGCGTCTCCGCTGCGTCGGGATCACTACCGCCCGACGCCAGCGCCTCTGGCGGTAGGTGGGTGAAGCTCGGCGAGCTGTGACGCATGGGGCGACTGAACGAGCGTGGCCTCCAGGCGAGGGGGCCCGGCGAGGTCGGGCGCCGAGCTCAGGTCACGTGTCAACCTCCGGCACCAGTTTTGTTGATGCCGTATTAGAGGAGTTTTTTTTCCAATTTCCATGGCCTGAAATTGACTGCAAGTTATGGCCGTGGGAAAGCCGAATGGTATACTCCCTCACAGTGCTGCGGAGCCGGAGTCGAAGTTGGAGTCGGTCGAAGTCGACAGTTCTGACCGGAGTTGGAGTCGGAGTCGGAGTCGATTTTGGAAAGTGGAGCCCGAGTCGGAGTCGGAGTCACCGAAAATCTATTGACACCGCAGCTCTTGTCAGTTGTCACTTGTCACTCACTATCGACTTGGGAGGGAGCATAGGCAAGTATTCATGCGTGGTGCTTTTATTTAATTTTTGTAAGGCAAAACAGGAACAATTAATGTCCCAATTAACTAGCCCATGATCACGACCAAAGTCAATGATCAAATCACACCTGAAAATATTTCTTCTTCCGATCCAAACCGGGTCAAATTTCACAATTAAATGAACGGCGTCCCATGCTTCAACACACATGAAGCCCGTCAATCATTACTTGGTTCCGGATTACTTTCTTAACCCGCGCCGTGCTGGTGGCCTGAACTTTCCGCCGAGTGCTGGGGGGGGCGTTTTCACGCCCCCCCGTCTAACTCGGCTCCTGGGCCACGTAGCGACACGCGGTAAGCGGCAATCGAAAGAGCGTCAAAAATAAGGACGAAAACACTTCGGTCATTTTTTGGGTCAGGTCAAAGGTCAGGTCACCAGAGGTCACCAAAGGTAAAATGTTGACTATTTCAACATTTTGGAAACTGCCAACGGCTATCTCGGGAACCGATAGAGCTACAGCGCCGCGGAAAAGCGCATTCGATAGCCCTTTTACAGACCTTTCTGAGTAATGTTCTCAGATTTGACCTCAGGTCAACGGTTTAGCCTCCAGAGGGCAAAAACTCCAAAAATAGCCGTTTTTACGAAAAACGTTTTTTCGTCAATAACTTTTGACTCATAAGCGCCATGATATTACTTTTGCCAGCATCGTGTTCCTCTCGTCGAGACGCGTCGAATGAACTATTCGTTGACCTTGAAAGGTCATTTTGAAAATTTGACCTCAGGTCAAGGTCATGACCTGACCGAAAAGGGTCATGTTGCATATCAGTCGATCCGTATCGTCGAGCTGAACACATCTGACGTGTTTTCACCGCTCTAGCACGTCTCTATCAAAAGTTATAGCCAAAAAACTGCTGGCGACCGTTCATGACCTGAGATGACCTCAGGGGCACACAGAGGGGTCACAGGTGCATTTTTCCTATTCAGTGTGTCATGTTTACCTATGAACCGATGTTTGAGAGCGTTTTGAACGATATTCGTCCAAAAGAGGCGCATTTCAATTTTCTCCCATTGACTTATAATGGAGAGGTCGCAAAATTGACCTGACCTTAGGTCACAGATATCAAAAATCCGAGATATACATTTTATACATAATGTTACTCATATCAATCGCTGAAAGTTTCAAAGTGATCGTTCAGTCGGTGTAGCTATAGCGAGCCTTTGAACTTTTTCTGAGGTAAGGTCACTTGACGTGACCTGGTGACCTGACCTTGAACGGCCTAGGTCTGAAATTTTCACAACATGTGCGGAAATGATGTAGGAACACGTGTACCAAAAACGGCGGCGCTGCGCGCCGCCGTTTTTGAGATATTCGCGAAAAACCTGAGGGGGGGGGCGTAAAAACGCCCCCCCCCAGCACGGCGCGGGTTAACCAACATGAGTAAACGGGGGCGTGACCGGCTGTCTTCCACCTGACAGGTCGAGATTTGGCAGCAATCGGGGGCATCCATATGTGGCGTACGGGTGCGCCACTGCACGCAGTCTGGCCTTGGACAGTCCAGCTAGACCGGGTGGGAACCGGAACTGTGGGACTGGCGACTGCACCCGGCTCGGGAGGCGTGGGACGCTGCCGACCCGGCACATCCGTGCAGAGCTGGACTGAACAGCCCAGGGCGACTCCAGGGAGTGATGAGTCATATACAGCTCGCAGGCCGAAAGCCGGGGATGTGTTTTGTCAGGCTATCAAGTATCAATGCATAGCAATCTAGGACTCGCTGCGATTTGGCAGGCGAGGTATGAAAGTATTGTTTGTCATGCTTTACATACGCTGAAGTAAAATATCGCAGACAACGGTTGACAAACTTTGTGTTCATATTTCTGCAACCAACGGCGCTCCCCACATGCATATTCATTACCCATAGTTCCACCCATTCCCTTTTCCAGTAACCACCCACAAAAGCCACCACCTGTTCAAACTCGGTACTTCGTGTTCGTTCGTGTACCTAAGTGAGGGGCCAGGCTGGAGGCCCTGTCCTGGGACAGCGGTGCTGCTGCTGCCTTCACAGCGCGGTCAGCCGCGGTAGAGACGGGCTAAGGCATTTCCGCTGCCGCTGGATCGTCTTTGGAGGACGGAGGGAGGGCAGGAGGTGGTCTGAAGCTGGGGAGGGGGAGGGGAGAGGGCGAGGACCTCCCACCTAGAAGAGGACCAGGTTCAGTCGGAAATGTCCGTATAGGAATGTGGTTTAGGATGGGGAGTAGTGGCATAAAAAGGGAGAAAAAAACAGAGGATTTTAGAAGAGGAAGAAATAAGAAACATATGGAATAATGAGAGAGTGAGTAGCCGCCAAAAAGGATCGTGCCTATGCGTCGTACATTAACCCTCGCCCGCACATGCCATTTTCCCATCCTAGAACGCACATGGGGGGGGGGGGGTTGCCACCCCCGCGCCATTTCGTTCCTGTTGGAGATAGAGCTTAACGGTAAGGACCAAAACGATTCTTTGGGAAGAGACGAATCCAATGATACCCAGGTTTACCTTCTCAGGTCAGTCATTGACCTTCCAGGTCAGGTCAAACCACTGAACTCTATAATGTGGAAGGCACATCGGCCGCCAGATGGTGTCCAACGGTGCGGCCATGTTGCGCAGACCAGAAAGCGGCCGCCGCCTGTGTTGGGGAATAGGGAATTCGGGACCTCGATTTACGTTTGCGGTCGCTGCATCCGTTACGTTCAAGCTATGTGGACACGGAACCCGGCATCTTACGCAGAATTGAGTGGAGAACAAAATGAAATCCTAAAAAATCCTCAGATACAAGGAACTAATACGTTAAACCCTTATAAGCCAATGGGGAAATATGAAAATTGCTATTTTGGCGCCGAGAATGATCTGAAACTATCTCAAGCATATAGAATCATGATTTCATGCACTCCTTGCAAGGTTCTATGCTTCATATTTGCATTGTTGCCCTTGCGTGACGTCATTTGTGACGTCACAAGGGTCACAATTTTTCTTCAATAACTCCCGATCAAATTGAGCTAACGAGTCGGGAAAGACACCAATGCACTCAGGAAGACCTGCCGAATCGAATGATATGCGACATGACCTCTTTCAACCAGCTTCGTGACCTGGGGGTGCTGACCTGACCTTGACCTGAGGTCAACACCCTAAGTTGACCTGACCCGAACAAAAAGTATAGCATTCGATGCGCCTGAGCTAGCTGAACACAATGATGCCAAAATCGCGGCTCTACGGCCATTTTTGGCGAAATTATTTACCAAAAACCGAATCCGTGCCTTAGATCACTTGACCTGACCTCAGAGGTCACCGGTTGACCTGAGACCTTTAAAGCGGGATACTTAAAGTCACTCTGCATCATACTTTGCCGCATATGACCACTTTGCCGCTTAATTCTAGTTTAACTAGCGGCGCATTAGCGAGGTGGGTTCAATCAACCCCCTCGGCCGGGGCAAATGTAGGTCCGACGAGTGAATTTGAGGAATTCTGAAGATACGATCGTGTTCCCCACTCATTTCTGCGTAAGATGCCGGGCTCCGTATCTACGTAACTTGATCTAACGGATACGGAGGCCGCATACGTAAATCGAGGTCCCGAATTCCGGCAGCCGGTTCCTGGTCTGCGCAATATGGCCGCCACCGTTAGACACAACGGCCAATAGGGTTGAAGCGGCAGTGCTCCCCTGTGGGTCAAACTAAAAAATGTTGCTGTTTTGGGTCACCGTTGGATATCAAGTGCGCTGCTTATCATATACCGATGACGATGCCGTTTTCCTGTGCCAAGCCAGCTACAACTTCAACTTCCTCTTTGTAGAACCTCTTAATGTCACACTATCCGACCAGGTTTTTGCTGCTGAGGTCATTTCAGGTCAAGTTAGGTCAAGGTCAATTATATGTGTTTGTATGTCTGTGTGTATACTGATGTGTGCACCGATTGTTTATGTGTCCATATTACATGAAATCATGATCTGAGAAGCTTTTACCAAAAATGCAGTTAAAAAACTTCACAAAAAATAAATTACGCTTGCCTAAAACGCAATTATCTTAGATGACCTAGGTTGACCTTAACCTGACCTTGACATCTGTACATCGTCGAACAACATGTTCCATGATAGGTGGGAGGTAAGACTGGCAAAAAAGGCCGAAATCAAGGTGTCAAAAGCTCACAAGGCCCATAGCGTACGCAAGATGTTGAGAATGGCTATTTGGGTCATGACATTACCTGAAAAATAAGGTCATATCTCCGAAACAAAAAACCACAGAAACTTGAAATTTTTAGTGGACATCAAGAAAGGATAGAGGAGTAGCTATACGAAAAATCAGCCTTCTAGCTCTAAAAATGTTGAGTGCAGAGCAGAAAGACTACCTGGGGGGGGGGGGTGGCAACCACCCAGGTAGTCTGTCCCCTGTGCGGGCTCAGTCCCCATGTGCGGGCGAGGATAAAAAAAAACAATGTGTTAAAAAAAAATCAATATCAATGCCATATTACAGGCATGTTTGACCTTAACGCCAGATCACGAAATTCGGATTGAACGATGCCCACAAGTTTCT